TTGCTTACTGGACTGCTTCCCATCTCAATCTCTCCCTTTCTGCACTTGCCAGGGGTTTGTCAATAACCTCCCACTGCCCATACCACTGTTTCTCCCGCAGCTTTTGCCTGTCTGGCACTGGCACATTCCTGAAAGGTCTGACATGCACAGCATCCGGTGCCTTGAGACTTTTGTAGATCCCGCTGCATCCCTTCAGTGTTGCTTGCGCCAACCAAACCTGATACTCTTTGGACTGTAGTTCCATTGCTTGCTTCTTGGCATAATCTTTGTTGGCCTCAGCTCCTGTGATCAGCAGAGTAAGAGGGCGGCTGTCTCCATTCAGCAAATCTTCCAAGGCCGCAGTGAAAGCCTCTTTCCCATGCACTTCTTGCCACCTTTTGTCAAGATCAGCTGCCTTAGCACGAAGGTGAAGCATCGTGGCTGCGCTCATTGTATCCTTGTTGGCGACATGGGCAAGGAGGGAGCAAAACTGCCCCCAATACGCCAGGTCTCCTTTCTTCCACGGAGAGAGCGGTCGCGTGGCCGGCAAGGGCTTCAACTCAAGAGCAAGATACCAGCCTCTTCCTTGCTTAGGATGCTGCAAGTTCTGTAGTGCATATTGCTCTGCTTGATGACACCACTCTGCACATTGCATTTCTTTCGGCCCTCCTTGTTTGCCAAGCCAGAAAAACTTTGGCTGGGGCTCAAACTCATCCCATCCCCGGGAAGCTTCTTCAAGCCTTGGAACCGCCGCAAATTGGGGTCCTGCATGCGGTTTCCAGGGCACATCCCAACTGGGTTGAAGCTCGAGAAAAGGCGCAATCTTGCAGCTGGCCAGAGCGTAATCCAGTTCTCCTCCTGTGGTAACCGTGGATTGTCCACAACTGACAACCTCTGCCTTGAGCACGTTCAGCAAATTGTGCCCCTCCCACTGCTCTGGTGGCACCTGAAAGTCTCCAAGGACGACCCACGGCACGGCTAGTTCAGTCAGGAAAGCCGCTAATTGCCCTAGGACATGGGAGTTCAGATCTTCTCCGCATTTGAGGTAGATGGAAACCAACACCAGCTCCCAATGCTGTCTCTGCAGAACATTGGCCAGGAAGCCATTGCCATTCAGGTCATAGTGATGAAGCCTGTAGGACGACTGCCCTTCCCGGCAGCTGAAAAGATGTCCCCCACTGTTGCCACCTCTCCCTGTCTCCCAAGCTGGGAGAGCGGTGACTTGCTCCAGCTTATGTCCATGAAGGTGCGTCTCCACCAGCATAACCACTTGATGCTCTGTCTGCTGGACCCATTCTCTGGCAGCATTGTTCCATTGGGTGATATTGCTGTAGAAAACCTCCACACCATCCCCTTGGATCCTTTGCCGTTTCGCTGGCGGCTCAAAACTGCCAATGGTCTTCGTCCAGAAATGTGAGTGCTCTGCTTTGGAAGCCCATATCATAACTGCTCCCGTGTGAAAGATTTCCGGGATGTGTTTTTGTGCTTGCGGGCATTGATCATCATCCACCGACCACAGTGCATCTCCTTCAACCAAAAGGGAGACATAGTGTCCCGACGTGAGCGCTTCCCCTTGATGCGCAATCACCCCTCTCAGAACGAAAGTCCCATGGCCTCCATGCCCGGTGGACGTACGTTGAGCACATTGGAAAGTGGAGGGGATCTGAAGCCGGTGATGATGCTTCACCCACGCCTTGGCCTTTGTGCAGTGATAATACCTGCCAATGTGGAAAACAATGTGTTGCACACCCGCTCCCAAACATTGACCATTGGCTTCATTTGCCCAGTCACTCAACAACTGCTCTAGAGGCACATCATCTCCATCCTCATAAGGCATCCTGACAAAGAGTGGGAGAGTGTCAAAGTCATGCCACCTCCCCCCAAAGTGCGAATGCCAATCTCCTTGCAGGCCTGTTTGTTGCCAGTACTCCCACAAGTGCACCAGGAACTCCGAGGCATCATGCTGGGCTTGTGGATTGTCTAGCTTGGCAAGGATTGGCTGAATCTCAGATGCTCAAAAGATGTCCGGGATGTCATCTGCTGAAGCAGCTGAAGACACAACTTGGTGGATGGACCCCAAAACTCAGCTGGGTTGTCATGATGAGCACCCATCCAGCACCATAACCTGAGAACCGAATTGGCATAGCATCTATTGCCTCGGTTTCGGATGACCAGCGTAAGGTTGGCCGCAAGCAGCTCATTGTTTGGTGGCATATCAAGAGCCTGCGAAACAGGACGGGTGAGCTGAATGCTTCCTTGAAGGGCCAGTCTCATTCGTAGGATGTGCTTCAGGGCTTCCAGCCCCCATACACGAGTCTCCCCCATACCATAGCCCTGGTCCTCTCTGCAATGGGCCGGCAAGGCCTTGATAGCATCCAAAGCTTTTGCTCGCAGAGTCAGGAGTCTGTCCTGCAGGTGTCCAGGGGTAGTGATGTCCGCATTTGCTCTTTCATCATCATCTTCCAAGATGAAATAATCGTCTTCACCCTGTTTGCCTCCCCCCAAGAAGGCAACCGTTTGTTCACCTGACGGTGTCTTCATCTTGCATCTGTTGGCCGTCGAAAGAGAATGCAGGGTCCCGGAATTAGCAGGCCCGGGATGCCCCAGCCGCTCTGTGCTCCCCAAGGTCGGTGCCCCGCTCTCTTCCTGGCCTCCTGTCATGTGCTGTCCGATCATTTTGAATTCACCCATCTGCATATGCCCTTTTGCCAGTTTATCCTCACCTGTCATTGCAACTGAGGAGCCAGCTGGGCTATTGACTTTTTCCATGTTCAAAGTTCGTTCACCCTCTAGCTCATCCCCTGCATGGCTCAAACCGGTCCGGGGAGTAAACAAAACTGCAGAATCATGATCAACACCCAGAGCAATGCCAAAATGTGCACTGTCCTGCTCTCTTGGAAATGGTTGCTCATGATATTCCCACACGTTCACATACGGCTGCAATCCTTGGTGGGCAACATGTACATGATCTCCATGAGCATTGCACAAATCACCAAACAAGAATTGCCCCCAGTCAGCTTCACTCTGCGTCTGACCCCTTTCAGAGTGATGTGACAAATCACTTCTCCACACATTCAAACATTCCCAAGTGTTTGAAAACCCCTTCTCTTCAGCTGTCTGCCTCCAGGACCCCTTCACTGCAGGCAAACAGGCTGACTCTCCTCCTTTTCCACCACAAAAGGTCCGGCTGCTGTTACCCACTCAACTGGGCATCGCCGTCCATCTTGCGGCGCTTGGCTAGTGTTTCAGCCAGGTTCCTCTCCAGCTCTTTTTGCTGATCTGAATTGAAAATGATGCCAGCCTGTCCCAATGCTTTAAGGACGTGCTCTGTGGCATCCACACCCAAGACATGTTCGTTTGCCGGGCTCAAAGGCACTGCTTCTTCCTTCAGCTGCTTGGCATATGCTGCCGATTGATCCCCAAGCTGCTTGCGCTCTCGGTCAATCGCTTCCTGCACCGTTTTGAGCTCATCCAACAGCACCTTGTATTGGTCCTTGGCTTGATCAACTCGTCGCTGGAGGGACTGCTTCTTGGTGGCCAGTTGGCGTAGCTCCCCAACTGTGGCTTTCAGCTGCCCTGTCACATCCACATGTGTAGTTGGCTGAGGCTTGATCAGCCCTTCCACTGCATCTTTGACTTCTTTGGGCAATGACTCCAAATGGGCCTTTAGCACCTCCTCCAATGGCGGCAGCTCCGGTTCCGGAGTGAAATCAAGACAAATCCTTTCAAGGCATCTTGGGTGGCAGTTGGCATAGTCCCCCAGGCTTTCCTTAGGGTGGCTTCTAAAGCATTTCCTTCAGGCTTCTGCTTGCTTCCAAGGCCTGGTGGGGGTTCCACTTTTGTTCTGTCTCTTCCTCTTGGTTTCCTCACCTTGCGTGTCGGTGACGGGCTCCCATTCCATGCTTCTGTGGCTGGCCATGGAGTGCCGCACTTGTTGCAACCCCATCTGCTGGGGCTGACTCTATCCGCCCAGATCCAGGAAGAGCTGCAGCCTGCACAGGCAACATAGGATCTCCTGCCTCTCACCTTCTGGTAGCCTTGAATGTAGCCTCCCCAGTCCATCATCTCCTCGGAACAAACTCGGTCGTGCGCTCTGCAACCTCGTATTATGAGCAATGGCACAGGCACCAAACAGGTAGGGAAGGACCTGGAGCTCCTCAAACAAAAGGTCCAGTGCCGGCGAGGTCCTCAGTGCCACCACACCTGCTTGAGCCACCTAGGACAAGCCTTGAGCCAAGATCTTGAGCCTTGAGCCATATGATGTTTGGCTCTCCCTTTTTCTCTCTCTCTCTCTCTCTCTCTATTTCGTTCATTATTTCTTTTCTTGTTCTTTGCTTGTATTGTCTGTTCGGTTTGGTTCTTTTCTTTCTGTCTGTCTGTCTGTCTGTCCGTCTGTCTGTCTGTCTTCCTTCCTTCCTTCCTTCCCTCTTCCTTCCTTCTTCCTTCATTCCTTTCTTGGGTCTTTCTTTCCTTCTTTCCTTCTTTCTGTTCTTTTCTTTCCTTTCCATTCCTTTTCCTTTATGTCGTTCTTTCTGTCTGTCTGTCTGTCTGTCTGTCTGTCTTTATTTCTTTCTTTATTTCTGTCTTTCTTTCTTTATTTATTTCTTTCGTTCTTTCTTTCTTTCTTTCTTTCTTTTTATATTTCTTATTTCTTTCTTTATGGTTCTTTCTTTGATTATTTATGTATTTCTAAATTTATTTCTTTCGTTATTTATGTCTTTCGTTCTTTCGTTATTTCTTTCTTTCTTTATGTCTTTCTTTATGTCGTTCTTTCTTTTTTTCCTTCCTTTCTTGTTCTTTTCTTGTCTGTTCTTTTCTTGTCTGTTCTTTTCTTTTATGTTCTGTTCTTTTCCTGTCTTTCTTTCTTGCGTTCTTTCTTTCTTTCTGTCTAATCTACATATTGGATGTATCGCGTTGTCTAAATTGGCACGTCTTTTGCTGCTTTTTATCCTGGCCACCAGAGATATGGGCCCGCAACAGCCCTGCCCAAGCATTCGATTGACACCTTCCCGAGTCCCAGCCTCAACCCCGACATCGGCTGTCTCTTTCGGAGATTCTGCCGGAGCTGAAGCATCATCAGGCTTGAGGTTCTCGTCGTCAGGCGCTGTTTCCACCTGAGGGTCCAAAGTACCAAATCCACCAGGGCGGCACTTGTTTGGGATCTTGGCACAAACTGCATCTGAGATTTACACTTCACTTGGTGGCCTTAGACTGGCGTTGGAAGCTCCAAGCACTCTGGCGTACACTCACGGCTCAGTTGATCTTAGCTCAGCTCGGCAACTCAAATGTCCGAGCTCTTCTTTGCAATGCGTCAAGTGCACACCTTGGTTTGGAGGGCACAGCACACAAAGTGATCGTAGTGCAACTCTGGGCACTAGACTCCTCCAATGTGCACTCATCGTCTAATGCCAAAGCAGACGGCTTGGCGGCCACTGCTGGGGCCTGAAAAGTGCAATGAAGATGCACCAATGAAACAGGACTCCTTGGCAGGCCACGTTTCAAAATCACTGGGGCTGCTGCATTTAAAAATATAAGTATGCCTCCCAGCCAGTACATAGAGTGGGCCTCGGTCATGAGCTATCTGCAGAATGTTCACGCCGGGCCTGGTTTCCAGCAAAACTGTCTTGGAGCCACACAGAGTGCATGATGAAGAGCAACCAAGTGCAAGAGTCAAAGGATGGATATGAAGAAATAGGATGATGAATCACATGCTTGAGCCTAAAAACAAAGAAAAGTACATGCATGAACTGTCCGGTCAAAATTTGCGCACAAACAATTGCAAAGCACCATTTGCCTGTACCAAGTAAGTGGACTGCATTTTGAATAGCAACTATGGCTTCAAACCTTTTTTGCACATCCAGCAACTGCCGGCAGCTTAATTGGATGCCAACCTCCAAGCGCAGAAACTGTGCCATCGACTTTTGGAAGCACAACCAGGCGAAGCACATCGCGTACAAGGTTTGTGTAAACCCTCAAGTCCACATGCTCCATAGTTCCAGATGCAATTGCTGGGTAGTCGTTGACTTCAAGCAGCCAAGCTTTTCCCATCCCGTCGAGAATCACATCCAAGCCAAATATCTGACACAGTTCTGCTTCTTTGGGTGTGAATGGTCCTCTGGGCACATGCTCAAGGACAGAAGCAAATAGCCTTTGGGTAAGTGATCGAAGCTGTTGAATCAGCGAATCATCTTGGACGAGCTCAGGCTTTGGGAGGTACTTGATCTTGGCGCTGTTGCTAACATGGGCAGCTTTGACCTCAGGCTGCTCTGTGTACACCTGTCCGTACTCCAAAGATATCATTTCATTGTGTAAGAAAAGGCACAGCCTGCCATCTGTTTTTCCGTGTAACAATGCGTGGGCTCGAATCACCCATTTACGCCCGTTTCGAAGCGCTGGAGGTGCAACACAACGTTGCACGACGAAGGGCTCACAACCTTTTGGCCCCAAGGCATTGAGGCGACTCATTAGTGCAGCTCGACGATATACATTCACTCCCGTGCCTTTTACTCCGAGGCTGTGCTTCAGGAAAAACACCTCTGACTCCGTCGACACTGGTGGTTCTTTCAGAAAGATCTGCGCATCCCAGGTGTCCGGGTGTATGTCATGGCATCCTCCTGCTGAAAGAAGTTTTGCAAGGCTGGCCTTGGTTTCCGCAACCGAGGCAGTGAAGAAAACTAAGGTGCAGTTAAGAGAAGTCTGCCTTGTTGTCAAGTCTCCTCGTGAACTCCTGGCATTCCGTTAGCGCTTGCGGAGCAAAAACAATTGCCAAAGCTCACGAATCGTCACTTGCTGAGCCTTGCCTTCTCAAAAAAATATGGGAACGTTACACTCCTCAATGATATGTAACCCTCATTCGTTAAGTCCTGGGGAAATGGTCGGATCAGTGGCAGGTCTTCCGACGAGCTACGAGCTGGAAAGTGGCTGGCTTGGCCTGGGCACAATTGAAAGGAACAGAAACACGCCCGTGGTCCGTATGAAATACACACTGGCAAGAACAAACATGCAGAAACAAAAAAGCTCTTCTTTGCAAGGGCATTGCCAAGGGTAGCAGAGCACAAATGAATCATTTGCCGGCAAGTGACGGGCGGGCCAGCAAAAGGCTGGAAGGACACTATCATCATCTTCCTTGATCACCTTGTTGCCCATGAAGACTGCTAAAACCCTTTGGGATATAATCATGGTCGAGCTTACAGCACTGTAGCTGGTGCTTAAAACATCCACACAACGAACTCCACACCTGCCACCCGTTTGCACCAAACAGCTGGAGCCCTTGTCGATGCAGCTTGCCCAATGGGTTGCCCCAACCCCACCTTAGCTTAGCCAAGCACTGCCAATGCCAAGTCATACAAGTGCTGAGAGCTTTGCTTGCGATGCCTCCCGAACCAGTAGACCTGCGCTCAAAGACACATCATTGCAGTCTTGGCGAGGGCCACACCCAGTGGCCTTTCCCACATTCACCTCAGCTCAGCCACACCCTGTGCTACGATGGTCACATGCAAAATAAGGACCTGACGCCACTTTCTAGCACAAAGCTGGAGAGCAAGGGAAGCTGCTGTCGTTCTGCTTGGGGAACCTCGTGTCATTCGCTGCGGCAGCCCTGCTTCGTCTCTTTCTTTAGTCTCACTGTGTAAAACTAGGTGAGAGACCCTTCGTGTACACTGGTCTGCTCTTGAAAGAAGTACTGCCTGTTCCTGCGACGCTGCAACTTGGAGGTCGCAATGCCACCGCCACAGCAAGAAAATACTTTTTGACGAAGGTCTCTGAGACCCCATCAAGGCATCAGGCATATGGGTCATATGCCATTACACTATTACACTATGCCAAAAAAACAATCGTGTGCGGGAAGCCCCGGGAAGCCAGGAAAACGAAAACTGTGACCCATGCAGTTGTTCTGAAACTGCAGTTGTGAAAGTTCTGAAGCTTCCAAAGAGCAAGCAGCCCTAAAGCAAGCAGCTCATGCAGAACGAAATCATGGACGTGGAGATGATCCCCACCCACACCCACCCACCCACCCTCATCCGCACACAGCGCGTTCTCAGCGTGGCCGAACTACGTAAGTTGCTAAGACGGGATATGGATGTTGAATGGTATTGAAGCATGAGACATGTTTCTGTCGCTGAAATGCACCCGATTTCTGACGCATAGTTGCTGAAATGCCGAAGTTGCTGTAGCTGAGTTGCTGAAGTGTACATAGACAAAGCACATCACAAGCAGTCCTGCTTTGGCAGGTCTCCTTCCTCCAAATCACTTTTGAAGGTCCAGGCCATGGCAGATGCTTGTTCTGCCTACAGACCAGCTGTCGGATGTTGTTGGTTGCCGGGACTCGCGACATCTTCTCCCCTGCCTGCATCTCACGCTCAACCTTATCTTGGCTTGCCTCCCACACAGTGTGACACAGCTCACCACTGCGTCCCAGGCTTTTGAAAAACAACGTCAGCTCAACCAAGTCCTCACCTTTGAAAGAAAACTTGACTTTCGCAAACGACAGAGATCATGGAGCTTTGCCTCAAGCCAGTAGGCTTGACAATTATAGACAGACCAATGTTCACGGCCAGAGTTGATGACTCCAACTTCTTCCGGATTCGCTGGGTTGGCCAGCACCCACATGAAAGAAAAGTCCTGTCGAGCTGGTAAAGCTGAAACTGAAATGCTCAAGACTCAAGACTGAAATGCTGGGCAATCAAAGCCTGTCCTTCATGAACCACTGCCTCAGCTTGCTGAACAAAGTGAACAAAAATGTGGTGGTAATATTCACCACTGTTAGACCGAAGTTATACATGCATAAATTTCAACCTATGATCACTAGCCAATTCTTGATGAGTTGACCCAGGCTCGGCCCAACGATTTAACTTCTCAATGCCTGCTCTTTCTTCAGGCTTTCTGTCGGATGTCCGTTGGAGTTGTGATGCTCTTGCTGCATGTCCACGGCGATTGCTGAAATTTGATCTCGTGGTCTTCTAGACGTACACTGCATCCATGTGGTTCCAGAAGTGGGTGTCAATAGGTGTCCCTCTCCCATTGGCCAGGGGGTGACACCAAGGTCACACGACATCAACTGATCTACTCTTGAATCCTTGTCATTTGCATAAACTTTGGCCACGGTGCATTTGATATTTTGCATAATTCCTCGCCAAGAGGTAGCGTACCCAAAGCAAGACTGACAGCTGACACCTGCCTGGACGCTGCAGCAAACCTGTCAGACCATTCTGCTATGTGAGGTTTCAGTCGGAAAGTTCATTGGTTTTGCATAGTTTGGCGCTTACCACAAGCCTCACCTCCGGAGAAAGGCAGTGAAGCTCTCCACATCATCTTCGCTTGCATTGGGCCTGTGCAGCCGATACGTTGTAGCTCGTGGGAACTTGGCACAGCCCAAATCCCCTGATGAACCTGGTGAAATAGTCCAATACCTGACGGTAGCCTTGGATGTATCAAGAAGCCACGAGCCCATCGTGGAAGTTGCCGAACAGAACAGACTAAAACCTTGTCCCCAACAGTTTCCTGCACCGAGGCGCCAATTGCATCAGCTGCAGGCGTGTCAGTCCGCAAAGTGCCTGACGTTAGCATCTAGCGACGGCACGGTCAATTGATTCTATCACTTGTGACAATGATGTTCAATGAGCAAACAAGTTGCAAAAGCATTATAAATGGAACACAGTCCACCACAAGCACTACCCTGGTCATACTGCATAATTGCACTACATAAAGCCACGAAACAAAGGAGATGGAATAAGTTCATGTCTTACAGAAGGCCACCAGTTTTCAGATACAAATACTGAATTTATATATATATTTTTTTATCCGCCGACCCTGCTGGCACCACTGTAAGTGTGGAGCTTTGCGGTGGCTGCTTCAACGGCCAAGGTTTTCCTTACAAAAACACATCCGGCAAGCAATGTTTTTCACCTATAGGGCCCTGCAAGCCGTCAAAACTGTCCCTATATGAGGCCTTCAAAACCTTCTGGGCAGCGTAGCCGCCAGAACTGCCAGAACTTGCTCCACACGCATCTCTATGAAACAGCGCGTGGGCGATTTCCTGGGTAAACCTTCCCCACCGGGTTGATTTGCTGACGACCCTGCCTTTGATAAAGAATCTGTTGCCACACGTGCTTTGAAGATTTCAGGTTTTGTTGGAAGAGACAGATCTTGTCTCTTAGCGAAGGGGCGCAAAAGGTGCACCAGGGGAAGATGAAGGTGTATATAATATATATATATATGTACACATATATATATATGTACACATATATATATATATATGTGTGTGTGTGTGGCTCAAGCCATCTAAGCCTCAAGCTGGTCCCCTACGAATCCAGCTCACCAACCGGGCGAACGCCATTCTTCTTCCAGAACTACCAGAAGGGCCCGGAGCTGGACACCTTGAAGTACAAGGACCATTTGCTTGAGGAGGACCAGGTGCAGAATGAAGAGGCAGTATGTTGTCTGCCAAGGTTGTCAGACCAGCTGGATCTGGCAGGACAGGCTGATCAAGCAGCCCTCGACGCAATGCCGGCAATGTGGAGACCACTGGCAGACCATGCACCTGAAGGACCTCAAGCAGAACAAGAGACGCACACAATGGGCAGCATGGAACTTCACCAGGAGTGGAGCGCAATGGCCATACAAGACCTACCAGGAGGCCCTGTTGGAACCTCCTCCAGGCCTTCAAGGAGGACAAAAGCAGAAGCGCACCAAGAAGGTGAAACCCAATGCGCTTCAGAAGGCAATTCAAGAGCACTGGAATGACTTACCAGGGGCCCTCAAAAGCCAATGTGAGGCTTTGGGCATCCAATCCAGCAGCCCTCCGACTCCTCCGGATTTGCCGACCTTGATCAAAGAGCACCTCCAGAGCCTACCAAGTGACTTGAAGGAGGCGGTGGAGAAGTTGGTTGAGCCCTCAAAGCCTGAACCAACTCTAGCTACCAAGCTGAAGCAATCGGTTGGGCAGCTCAAGCAGTTGGCTGAGAAGAAATCAGCCATCCAACAAAAGGCTGATGCTGTGAAGACGCAGAACACGGCCTTGCTTCAGGAGCTCAAGGAGACTCAGACCAAGATAGATGCAGCTCAGCAGGAACTTCAGCAGACCACAAGCTTCAGTCGTTTAGTTCATTTCCCAGCCCTCCACCCTATCACTCAAGCGGAAGGTCTTTTTGCCGTGAGGTAGCTGTCGATCTGCCTGGTTTCCTTTTCTATCTTTACAGGCTGACCATCTGCGCCACTCTCCACCCTCTGTGCATATGTGGTGTGGGTGGGTGGGCAAGAAAGTCAACTCTCGAGGTGGTGGGCACTTGATTGAGCCAAAATGGCCAGTGCCCACCACCTCCCAAACTATACTCCTAGCATGTGTGGCACATGAATGTGCTCACACAAGCTTCAGTCGTTTAGTTCATTTCCCAGCCCTCCACCCTATCACTCAAGCGGAAGGTCTTTTTGCCGTGAGGTAGCTGTCGATCTGCCTGGTTTCCTTTTCTATCTTTACAGGCTGACCATCTGCGCCACTCTCCACCCTCCTCTGACTTTGTCGCGCATTGCTTCAAGCTTCTTGCACTTGACGCACTCTCTGGCCTTCCCTGTCTTAAACTTCGTGAGCTCCACCTTCACATGGTATCTTGCGAAAGGCCAGCCGCACGTGGTAGTCCATTTGTCCAACGGTATGCCCCACCCGGCATTCGACACAGTGTGTCTCGTCTTACCCCTGGAGGAGGAGGAGATCACGAACAGCTGGGACTTGTCGATCGGAGGCTCTCGAACTTTACCTCCTGTCCGCGACCTGCACTCTTTCTCTTCTTCCCTGGCTCACTCTCTTCTGGGTCCACCTGGACGGGCTCTATCACCTTGTTCAGGACCATTGCTTTGTCCGCGGGTCTGGGGCGATTGAGTGGCATCTCTTCCAAGGCATCCTCGATGTATCTCAACACCGCTGAGGGCTTCCATCTTCCCAGGAATGAGATGTCGTAGATTCCCAGCCCCTTCCTCGTGTACATCATGGCGCCTGCATTCTGGCTGAGTGCCCGGACATCCTAGGGTTAAGGACGTTCTGCCAGGCTCTCACCAGCTGGTCCTTCGAGACCTTGCGCGATGGGAACAAGGGGCTTTCCTTATCTGTAAGGCTGGCCAGCGCTCGAACTGCTAGGTTCCATGGGCACTGCACGTCGCACTGTCTCTCCCTGCAACACTGCAACGTTCTCCATGCCCCCTTCGCCTGTTGGTCCGTCTTCGATTGCGGTAGAAAGAACTTAACCTCCCTCTTCTTCCAGTCTAGCGCCACGTGCTTTGCCTTTACCGAAGCTGCCTCTGCCGCCCTCAACATCCAATGCACGGCCCAAGCGTAGGACCAGGCGACCTTCTTCGGCTCGGTCGTTTTGCGGCTCTCCAAATCCCATACTAGGTCATCGAGGTCCCCCAGCTTGACCTCCACTGCTCTTTTCTCAGGGCCTATGTTCCTCTTGAGAGCCTTTGCACAGGACGAGCCTTCTCTCGAGTGCTTCCGACCAAGGGTGACCCATTTCAATGTGCCACAGTTTCAACTCCGCCACGTACTGGTCGGCTGACTGCACGCTTGTCTGATCCAAAAGGACCGACACTTGCGTCAGGTTCTCCTCTGTGACTGGTGGGCCTTGCGATCCACACACTTCCATTAGTTGGGCTACCTTCTTCCTCTTGGATTGCTTGCTCAACCACGTGGAGGTGGCATGGAACTTCACCATGAACTTGCTGGCTGTGGCTCTCACCCAGTCTCTTGACTTGGCTCGGCATAACACCTCGTTCATTGTGAGGGCCGTCTTGGGCTCGCATGTTCTAGCATCTGATCCAGGATCCCCCCAGGTCGTCTGAGCCGCACGAACCGCTCTCTGGTGCCGCTGGGGCTGTGGAGTGCCCATGTGTCCTCCTCCAACACCGCCCTCATCCACTGTGGACAGCTTGGCGCTGTCGTTGATGGCCGTGATCCTCCTGCTTCCATCGGCTCGGGCGTTGACTCCTCTGCCACCAAAGTTGATGCCGTGGACCGAATTGGTGACCCAGTTGTTGCATCCGCGGACGCTGAGCGAGGCCTCGGTGGAGATGAACTCATTCCGGGACCTCCCCATAGGGCGTGGAGTGGCCTGTGATGACGTTGGCCAGGTTCTGGAAGACGGCTCGTTGACTCCGACCTCACTCTGGGGCTCGGGCTCCTTCTTGATCTGTGCCTCCTGTTGCTGTCCTCGCCATTGTTCTCCCTGCGCCTGCTGCCGTGGTCTGACAAGTCGCCCCTTACCTCCTCTGCTTGGCTGTGCCGCGACCCGTGAAACCATGTCGATGAGCGCCATCCCGCTACGAAGGCCATGAGGATTGTCAGCGCCCATGCCAAAAGCGTGCAGTGGACGACGCGCCATAGCACGGAGGTCCCCTCGTCGGGGACGACTTCGAAACCCACAGCTAGATCCGTCATGGCTGCCCGAACAACGAAGCTCATCCCCCCCCCGGCCTCGACGGCGACCGCGACCGAACGTGGGTACCGGCGACCGTGACGAACCGAGGTGGGCCCACCCCTCCACTCAGCTTCCCATTTTTTCAGGACTCGCGAGGCCAGCGCGTGCGCCGCACTAGGTCGCTACAGCGACTCCCACACGTTTCCGGGATGCTGAGGCAGGCCGGCCCAAGGGTTGTACAACTCCGGAGCGCCCGGAGGAGGAACCTTGAAGTCCTCGAGGAGCTGACCTTTGAGCTTCTTCAGCCGCACGCCCTGCAGAGACTCTGGCATCTCCCCACGCTCGCGGGGGCGAGACAACCAGTCCGCTTCTTTGTTGAAGGTGCCCGGCACGTGGTATATCTCGATCTGCCTGATGTCGATGGTCTCCAGTAGGCAAGCGAGCTCCGCCGCGATGTAGTTGAGCGTCGGTGGGGGACTGCTGAGCTTCTGGGCTATGCCGAGGGCCACGGAACTGTCTGACTTCAGGATCAGCCCTTTGCACTGGATCCTTCGCTGCCACAGCTTCACGGCCCTCAAGATTTCATAGGCCTCGCACACGGCCTGCGACGCAGAGCTCCCATGTTCAACGCGCAACCAAGTAGCCTCCTCCGGCGTCACCGGAGCCTCATACTACATACGCTTCGATGAGCTGAATGCTGCCTGATGAAGCGTCCTTCTTCCACAACACGGCTCCGATGCCCATGGGGGAGGCATCCGAGATGATCTCCCACTCGGCTGGTTTCTCCTTCAACCACATGACCCGAGCTTGCATCTTGAACCCGTTCGCATCCAGCATCGCGATCAACCAGTTGAGGGCCGACGGCTCGGACTCATCCATCTTGCGCATAGCCCTCAGGACATCGCTGACCCTTGGGAGCACTATGCGCTCCGGCACCTCCGCTCGCCCATTTCCTCCGCTTCGAAGCATATCGATCACGATCCTCTTCTTCACCGACCCGTCGGGCTTTGGCTTCAGAATCAAGGCAAGCTTTGAGACCGTGCCTACGCTGTAGGCATCCCGTGCCGCTGCCCATGACATGCGTCGCACAAATCCCTTCGCCTCGTACCTTGCGATTCCCGTGGGTGCTCTTGAACCGAGGCATAGTTGACCATGTTTTGG